ATAGTAACCATTCTACGAATTTTTGTTATTATGTATTTTTAGTTTATTCCACCAATTCACCGAATTTCATGAATTTCATGAATTTCATGAAATTCGTAAATTTCGTGAATTGGTGTGACGTCGGATCCGGGGTGTCGATCTCCCCTTCACACCGTACTACACTCTATCTAATATTGTTGCACCATATTACCGACATGTCATTTCGGTTCCGTCCACTTCACCGACATGTTTGTTTCATAGACAACCGATTCCTATACAAGCTCATTTCGTACACAACTTATTTCACATTTTACTGACATTATTACCATTAGAATTAGGGTTAGGATTAGAGGGATTTATAAGAAATAAACATGTCGGTGAAATAAGTTGTCTACGAAATGAGCTTGTCTATGAATTGTTTGTCTCTGAAATAAACATGTCGATGAATTGATCAATAAAATGAGTGTAGGTGAAATGATACGGATTCGAAAAAAATGAGCTGTAGGCGAAATGACATGTCGGTAATATGGTGTCAGGGAAATGAGTTGGCAAAGAAATAATCTTCATGAAATCATACTGTAACTGTAATTCACCATGTACGTTATAAAGTTAAATAAGTTGGTTCAACTAGAGTTGCCAACTTAAAATAATTTGGTGATTTTAAATACAAAAACTAAAATAATTATTGTTTTTGCAATTTTGAATATTAAACTTTATGCAAGATACAATAAATAATAATTACATTATAAAAGCTAAAATTTAAACAATATGAAACAGCTAATAGAGTAAATGTATTATACGAATAAAATTATGTATTAACAGTTAACTTTACATATACCGTAAATAATTATATGCTGTATTATAAATTCTATATATTTAAATATACCAATATTTTTGTACTGTAATTAATATTTAAATCGCTATTATATCATTCATATCATTGCTACTGTATCTGATAATGTGACATGCTTTTAAAACATCCTTGTCAATCTCATTTTGTTCGTGTACTATCTGATCTAATTTAGAATGTTTGTCTTTTGTAATTAATGACTTTTTTTAGAAAGCGATTCTTGCCAATATTTTTTAATCTTTATAGTAACTCCAGAACATATATTAGTAAGATGAGCTTTCATTTCACCGGGACGTCCACAACTTCAAGATTTTGGACGATGTGCTACGATAACTAGTATTACTACTAGTTATATAATACTCCCAGATTTTTTCTCTTGGTCGAACTACATTTTTACACTTATGATTAATATGTTGATCTTGCTGTTCTGTATCTATTGACATATTTTCCTCTGAATATGTGTTAGCTTGTGATGATGAATTTGAATATAAATTTTATTCTTCAGTTGTTAAAAAAACAAGTTTAAAAATGATTTATTATGTTCGAATTCAATAACTATTATATTCGGATTCAATGTTTTATTATGTTCGAATTTAATAATTCATTATATTTGGATTTAAAGTTTTATTATTACGTACAATAACAAAGTTAATTAAACTTTTTAAGACAAAATTTAATTATCGTTTATTGCATTATTTATCAATTATCATAAATAAAATATTCTTGCACTGAAAATATTTTGTATATTGAAATTAAATTATATAGGATTTTTGGCTCATTTTTAGAGTGTTAGTAAGAGAAAGGTTACAAAAATATTAATTTCCAATGAATTATATTATAATGATAAAACTTTATACTGAATGAAAAACTAAAATAAATAGGTGGTAGTTCGTGACATCCTATCATATTAGTGATAAATAAAAGTAGAGGTCGGAATCGGTTGTAAAATTTAAAACCCGAATTGTTTAAATACGATTATGAAAAAACCGATTTATGCTAAACCGGATTGGCTTAAACCGAATTTAATTCGAATCGTCGGATAAACATTTAGCCCAAAAGAAAAAACCTGAAATTACTTTTTTGTTATATTGGATATATTGTTTATTAACACGTAATTTCGAAATTTGATAGAAAATAAAATAAAACCGAATGCTAATTTAAAAACCGGTTTGTCGGAGGGTTACAACCGAATTAGAACATTACAAAACGATTTACTATTTAAACCGGTTTAACCCGAAGTTGAAGTCGAATTTCATAATTCGGTTCCGACCTCTAAATAAAGAATTATTTTATTATAAATTAATTAGTTTATAACTAAAAAAAGTAAACTTTTTTATAAAGAACTCTTAAAAAATTAAAACAATAAAAACTACTTTTTATATTAAATTTTATATAGCAAAAAACTGATAATTAATAATCTAACGCTTAGGCTATACAAAAAAAAATTCAAAATAAAAAATAAGCTTCATTAAAAAATAATAAATATTAAAAAAATTAAATTATAATAATAAACTAATTTTAGAACTACAAAAACTCGTAATTATTTATTCAGCAAGGCTATTAAGAACACGGAACACGCAAAAGTCTATTTGGAGTAATTGGACGATCGGGAAAGTAAAGACCATTAATGACATCTTTCGTTGATAAATTATCGAGCTCAATCTTCATTTCAGCTGGAGATCTATTTCCACTACTTGAAATTATCAAGGCAACTGCTCCTGCAACTAATTAATAGAAACCTTAAATTAATCCTAATTTATGCGGAAAATCGAATATTTTTAATTTACAAACCATGAGGAGCTGCTTGACTGGTTCCAGTTAATGTCATTAAATCTGTAGAACGTTTATTTCCAGCTGCAGTTATATTCACACCTAATTGTAAAAATAAAAATTTTAATTAGTTAATACGTGTATTAAATTATTTATTGTTAATTTTCGAATTCAATTTATTACCTGGGGCAAGGATATTGACACAGGGCCCAAAATTTGAAAAATTTGGAAAATTATCTGACATCGCTTCAGTTGCCGAAACTGTTATAGCATTAGGTGCTGATGCTGGTGTAAAGTCACAGGCATCTACACCAAAATTTCCTGCAGCAACAACAACATGAATACCCAGTCCAATTGCTGATTCAGTTGCATTATTTACACTAATGCCAATACTCTCAAGAGTTCCTCCTAATGACATACTATAAAATAGATTAATTTAAAAGTAGAAATAATAGATAAAATATTACAAATATTACTTGATTACGGTATTCTTGTTAGTGCTGTTTGAGTGCTGATCTGATACAAATTTTAACCCTGAAATGATAGCAGATGTTGGGCATCCGATTCCTCTCGCATCACAAACCTTAACAGAAATTAGTGATACATTTTTTGCAATTCCAAATATTTTTCCTAAAATAATTCATATAAGTCTTATTCATAAACATTAAGATATTTTACAAAATATTTTATGATGATAACTTTTAAATTACCTCCAACCTATTAATGAGATTAATTGATAGGAATTTGTTAGTAAACAAGTCATAATAAAATAAATATTTGACAATTATATTATAAGAATATTAAATTAAATCTAAGATAAATTTGGTTATTATGACTTTGAATGTATAAATTTAAGATTTACTTACAATTCCTGCAACATTTGTTCCATGTCTTTTAAATTAAAAAAAAAAAAATTCAATATTTAAATTTAAAATCAAAAAACAAAATTAAAAAATAAAAATAAAAACCCGAAATCATCAGTTTTTGTACAATTATCACAAAAAACACCTCCAAATTTTGCTCGACCTTCAAATTCTACATTATCTAAATTAATACCTCTGTATGTAGAAATAAAAAAAAATTATTATCTTTTTATTTTTAATTAACTAGAAAATTAATTAATCGCTTACGTGTCAACAATATAAACATTTACTCCAAAACCGTCACTACTTGGATACTTGTATTTTCCATCTAATGGTAATTGTTCTTGGTCAATACGATCTAAATTCTAAAAATTTTAGAATAAATTATTATTAATGTTATTTACTCGGGTTATTTCAAATAAAAATAGTAATACATGCGTACAGGGATAGAAGAAACTTTTTCGGTTACAGTATTACATTTAGCTTGAGTAGTAGTAGGGCTGCTAGTTTGAGTGGCAGTAGGTTTTTCGGTAGAAGTTGAAGAACGAATTTGAATATAATTAGGAACGTCAAGATGAATTATTTTATCTCTTTCGA